CTAACTTTACTGACTGCGTCCTCACATTGGCGGCCCATGTTCATTTTGGAATCAATAATGATGCCAAGATCCCTTTCTGTCACTATGCTTATGAGAAGGGAGTTCCCCAGCCTATAGGTATGCTGCTGGTTCTTACTGCCCAAATGCAGTACCCTGCACTTGTCGGTATTGAATCCCATCCTATTCTCATTCGCTCACCCCTGTAACCTGTCCAGGTCCAGTTCTATCCTGTCCCTCCCTTCTAGTGTGCCCACCTCGCCCAAAATCTTGGTGTCGTCAGCAAATCTGAACAGGGTGCTTTTCACCCCCTCGTCCAAGTCGCTGATAAAGAAATTGAACAGTGCGGGCCCAAGGACCGAGCTCTGGGGGACTCCACTGCCCACATCCTTCCAGGTGGAATATGACCTGTCCACCACCACTCTCTGGGTGTAGCCCCTCAGCCAATTTGTGATCCATCTGATTTGTGATCCATCAATGTCACAGTCGCCTAGCTTTTTAATGAGAATGGGGTGGGAGACAGTCTCAAAGGCCTTCCTGAAGTCCAGAAAGACTAGATCCACCATGACCCCTGTGCCCAATGCTTTTGTGACCTGATCGTAGAAGGCAGTCAGGTTGGTCTGACAGGACCTGCCCCTAATGAACCCATGCTGGTTGCCCCTGAGCATCATCCCCCCAGCTGGTCCTTCCCAGATGTACTCCTAGATAATTTTCTCAAAGAGCTTCCCAAGGAGCCAAGTAAGACTAACAGGCCTATAGTTGCCCAAGTTGTCCCTCCTCCCTTTTTTGAAAATGAGGACCACACTGACCTTCTTCCAGTCTTCTGGTACCTGGCCAGAGCACCACAAGTGCTTGTAAATTCCCTTTCAGGTCTCTTCTCTAGCCCAGTTCCCTCAGCCTGTCCTCATAGGTCATGTCCTCCCACTCCCTCACCATTTTTGTTGCCCCCTGCTGGACTCTCTCCAATTTGTCCACATCCTTTCTGTGTGGGGGGCCCAAACCTGAACACCATACTACAGATGTGGCCTCATCAGTGCTCAACAGAGGGAAATAATCACTTCCCTTGATCTGCTGGCAACACTCCTACCAATGCAGCCCAGTATGGCATTAGCCTTATTGGCAATAGGGGCATACTGCTGGCTTATATTCAGCTTATTGTCCACTGTAGCCCCAGGTCCTTTTCTGCAAGGCTACTGCCCAGCCAGTCAGTCTCCAGCCTGTACTGGTACATGAGACTTCCATCCTAAGTGCTGGATTTTGCACTTGCCCTTATTAAACCTCAGGAGATTCCTTTTGGCCCAATCCTCCAATTTGTTTAGGTCACTCTGAAACCTAACCCTACCCTCCAGCATAACTACTGCTTCCCACAGCCTGGTGTCATCTGCAGACTGGCTGAGGGTGCACTCCATGCCATCTTCCAAGTCCTTAATGAAGACATTGAACAAAACCCACCCTAGGACCAACCCCTGGGATACTCCACTTGATACCGGCTACCAACTAGACATTGAGCCATTGATTACTACTCTCTGTGCCCGATGCTCCACCCAGTTTTCTATCCACCTTACAGTACATTCCTCCAGCCCGTATTTCCTTACCTTGCCTGTGAGAATGCTGTGGGAGACTGTATCAAAAGCCTTGCTAAAATCAAGGTAAAGCACATCCACCAGTCTCCCTGCAAAGCAGATCCACCAGTCTCCCTGCATCCACAGAACCAGTCATTTCATTATAAAAGGCAATCAGATTGGTCAGGCATGACTTGCCCGTGGTGAATCCATGATAACTGTTCCTAATCACCTTTTTCTTCTCCAAGTGCTTAGAAATGGATTCCTTGAGGATTTGCTCCATGATTTTTCCAGAGACTGAGGTGAGGCTGACTGGTCTGTAGTCCCCTGGATCCTCCTTTTTCCCTTTCTTAAGTATGGGTACTATGTTTGACCTTTTCCAATCAACCAGGACCTCTCCTGATTGCCATGAGTTTTCAAAGATGATGGTCAATGGCTGCGCAATCACATCCGCCAACTCCCTCAGCTCCCTTGGGTGCATCCCATCTGGCCCCATGGACTTGTATATGTCCAGCTTTTCTAAATAGTTCCTAACCTGTTTTTTTATCACTGAGGGCTTCTCACCTCCTCCTCAAACTGTGCTGCCCAGTGCATTAGTCTAGGATCCTGCCTTGCCTGTGAAGACAGGCAAAAAAGGCATTGAGCACTTCAGCCTTTTCTGCATCCTCTGTCACAAGATTGCCTCCCCCATTTAGTAAGGAACCCATACTTTCCTGATCTTCCTCTTGCTACTTACATACTTGCAGAAACCCTTCTTGTTACCCTTCACACCCCTTGTTAGCTGTAACTCCAACTGCGTTTTGGTCTTCCTGCTTTCATCCCTGTATGCCCAAGCAATGCTCTTATATTCTTCCCTAGTTATTTGTCCACATTTTCACTTCTTATAAGCTTTCTTTTTGTGGTCTAGTTTACTGAAGAGTTCTCTGCTAAGCCAAGCTGGTCTTCTGCCATACTTGCTAGTCTTCCTACACATCGGGATGGTTTGTTCCTGCACCCTTAGTAAGGCTTCTGTAAAGTACAGCCAGCTCTCCTGGACTCCTCTCCCCCTCAGACTGGCTTCCCAGGGGATCCTGCCCATGAGTTCCCTAACTGAGTCAAAGTCTGCTGTTCTGAAGTCCAGGGTCCTTACTCTGTTGCTCTCCGTCCTTCCGTTCCTTAAGATCCTGAACTCAATCATCTCATGGTCACTGCTGCCCAAGTTGCAATCCACTACTACATTCCCCATCAATTCATCCCTGTTTGTGACCAGCAGGTCAAGAAGAGCATGGTCCCCTTTTGGCTGCTCTAGCACTAGTGCCAGAAAGTTGTCCCCAATACTCTCCAAAAACTCCCTAGATTGCCTGTGCACTGCTGTATTGTCCTCCAAGCAGATGTCATGGCAACTGAAGTCCCCCATGAGAACCTGACACTTTCGCTTGCAGAAATCTTCCGCTTATAGCATCCTTATCTCCATTCAAGGACCTCCCTTTATTGAGCACCCAAGGCTTATATGCCACACAGCAGATGCCCACGCCATACGTAGGATGCATGCTGCAGGTTGGCCAACCCTGGTCTAGGGCATGCTTATTGGAGCACAATCAGGTCTGCCCTAAAATAACCATGTTAGCCCATTTCCAGGATCTGGTATGTACTAAATAGAAATGGTCAAGGCATGCTTCTTATCAGTATTCCAGAGCTCAGCACATAGACCAGGGGTGGGCAATTTTGGGCAGAGGGCCACTTACCCAGTTTTGGCAGGCTGTTGAGGGCCACATGCGTAGCTCCACCCCTTGACAGGTGCCCCACTCCCACGTCACCATCTTGGGACCAATGTCCCAGGGTCAGCACCGGTGGGGCCCAAAGCAGGGCACAGGCTGGCAGGGGTCTGTGAAGCCAGGCTGGGTTGCACAAGCAGGGAGAGGGGGGATCTGGCCTGGCTCCATAGAGCCCCCACTGGCTAGGATCCCATGCTCCTGCCACCCTGCTCTGGGCCCCGCCAGCACTGGCCCTGGGACACCGGTGCAGGTCCCGTGCTCCTGCTGGCTCCCGTACCTGCTCACTCCCAGTGCCCCCCAGCCCTGCGGTACAGGTGGGGGGCAGCGCAAAGCCCCAACCCCCTGCTCCCCAGCAGAGAAGGAGCTGGTGCTGAGCATGGGCAAAAAGCGGCCCCTTGCCCACCTCATGGCCGGCACTCCCTGCTGCAGGTGGTTGTAACCCACACAGGGCTGTCTGAAGCAGGCACAGGCAGCCCCATGCGGGCTCCAAGCAGCTGCAGTGTGGGGCGCTGGCCACAAGACAAGCGAGAAGCTGCTTTTCCCCAAGCTCAGCACCAGCTTGTAACCTGGCCCTGATGCCAACCTGGGCCCCGTGCCAGCTCTGGGCTCATCCATCGGGGCTGCGCATGGTGACAGCAGCTGCAGCTCCCCTGCTTACCATGTCAGGCAGTGTTTGCTGCTGCTGCCCGCCCAGAGCTTGCGTGCTGGGCAGCCCACAGGTGGCGGTGGCAAATGCTGCCAGGCACGGCAAGTGGGGGGGGCTGCAGCTGCTGTCGCCATGTGCAGCCCCAACGGGCGAGCCTGGAGCCAGTGTGGGGCCCAGGCTGGCTGTGGGGCCAGGTTACAAGGTGGTACTGAGCGTAGAGGGGGAAAAGCAGCTCCTTCCCCACCCTGTGGCCAGTCCTCCATGCTGCAGCCGCTTGTAGACCATGTGGGGCTGCCTGTGCCTGCTCCAGACAGCCCCGCGTGGGCTGTGAGAGGCTGCAGCATGGGGTGCTAGCCGCAGGGTGGGCAAGGGGCTGCTTTCCTCCGCACCAGGAAGAAGCCTGGGGAAAAGCTGAGCATGGAGGAGTGGGGAAAAGTGGCCCCTCACCCACCCTGTGCCCAGAACTCCCTGCTGCAGCCACTCGCAGTCCACGCAGGGCTGTCCAGGCGCAGACAGCCCCAGGCAGGCTGCAAGCGGTTGCAGCATGGGGCGCTGGCCACGGGGCAGGTGAGGGGACACTTCCCCCCCCCATGTTCAGCTTTTCTGCAGGCCACTTTTGACCAGGCTCCTTCCCTGCCTGGGGTCCTCCCCTGCCCTCCCCCACTTCCCCCTTACCTACGGTTCCAGTGCAGGGCAGCCACGTGGTCCCAGGCCAGAAGCCCCTGCTGAGGCTTCCAGCTGGATGGGTGGGGCCAGACAGGCCTGCTGTTGTGGGAGCCAGACAGGCTTCCCCTGGGTCCTACTGCCCTTGGTTCCTGTCATTTTTGACAGGAACCAAGGGAAGATAAATATTAAATTTTGTAAATTTTTTAGGGGCCCCACAGGCCAGATAGAATGTCCTTGTGGGCTGTATGCAGCCCATGGGCTGTATTTTGCCCACCCCGACAGACAATATAGACTAGGCCTGTGGGTCTATTTGAGAAGCAACTAGCAACAGCAAGAAAAGCAAGCTGAGAACAAGGAAAAAACCAGAGAACTGCTCATAAACATGGCCCTGAGAGAGAGACAAAAACCAGAACTTTCTGGATAGTCTGATTGCTGGAAAAAACCTTGGAACTATAAGCAAAAGAAACTGTTTCCTGCTGTGTTCCAGGACAGGAGATTTGTGCACATTCTTTGTGAATAAATATAACTACATCAAAGGCGCATTGGATACATAAGTTAGTTTTGTGAAAATAACCTGCAAGATCACTAATACTGGTAATTCTTCTATATTTTTCTGTTGAGTTAGCTGAATTCTTTATTTTAATGAGGTATTCTATTTTAAGGGCTCACTGAATCTGCAAATAATGTAAACTTATTGGGAGACAGTTTATTCTGTAATTGTACTGTACCATCACTGTATAGGTATAAGACTTTCATTTATTTTTCTTGAACTAGGTATCAGTCTGTCATTCTTATTTTACTCCAACAAACTGAAGGAAAGGACCTAATTTTCCTGAGATTTACACTTCTGAAAACTTGTGATGATTCCATTTAAAATCAGTGGGATGACCCTGCTATAAAATGCTTTATTTTACAGTGTAGATTGGCATCCATATATCTGCAATTTGAGTCAAATATCAAAAAATATAAATACAGTTTGAATGCTTTCAAAATTAATCCACACTAATTATTTTATAAGGAGGGGCAGTAAATCTAATTTGAGAAGCTAAACTTTATTTTCATTACTTTAAAACATATTATATCATTATATTTTATTATGACTTTTCTTAGCATAAAAAGTAACAGCCTTCCCTAAGGTGATATGGTGATTGTATTATCTGCATTAACTTGTGCATTCAAAGATTGACGTGAAACTTCAGTTCTTATTGGACTCCAGAATTATATCCAAGGTTAACTGGTGTTGTCTTGCAGATCCCCTCCCTTGCCTACAGAGAGGATACATTTGTCTCATTAGCTAGTGGTAAGAATTTTCTCAAGGTCAACTAATCCAAGTCTACATACAAATGGAGAAAAAGATAGTGATAAGTCCCAAAACTTTGACTCGTGGTAGAATCAGGCATCTTCCTGGCCCCGTGTCATCTATGGTTGATCCTGTCAGGGCCTCTGGGATTCAAAACCTGAGCTATTGCACCTGCAGGCAGAGGACCAGGCTGCAACACCATCAAGAGACTTAGCTGCACATCTGCTTCAGCTCAGCTTGGGCCCTCCCATGTGGTTCCTAAAAGGAGATCAGATGACAAGGCCCTGATGGGAGGCTGTAAAACCCTTTTGCTTCAGAAGGGCCTTGTTCCTGCAACAATACTGGTAGTGCTCCTGCTGTGGACCTTGTTGCCAGTCTCCTGCACTCCTGCTCCCATCCTTGTCTTGCATCTCTGACTTTAAGCCCCTGCCTTGCCTCTTCCTCTGACCCTGCCTTGGACCTTGCTCCTGTTTACTCTATCTTGCATAGTGGATATAAGCACCTGACCTCTACCCTGACCTTGACCACAGACCAACTTTGATCTTCAGTTCAATACACTGGAGTCAGGATGACACCCAGTATTGTGACCCTCAGCTTTAGCTTCTGGACTTCTGGTACCGTTGACCCTTGGCTTCTGAAACCTAACCCTTCATGTCTAGGTTATATCTATGACTTCCTAACATCACAGAGCAGGAAGATATTACTGATACAGCTACATGAGCACAAATACTGTTTCAGATACTGTTTTGAAGCCTATAATGGCATCTTGTGAGAAAACATAAATAACCTCTCAGAGTTCATTTGAATGATTCTGTATATTTAATTCTAGTAGTTCTGATATTAATACATTAGCAACTTTTATATAATTTTCTTCTCCTCCCTCAGTGTACATAATATACTGGAACTGGGTAATATCTCCTTAATTAGTTTGCAAGGGTCATGCTAGGCTTCCCTGTCTTCTACTGCAGAAGCTGCCACAACCCTTCCGACCCTTAATCTATGAATCTATGAAAAACTCTGTCATAGCAGCAGTTCATCTGTATGTCTGTGAGAGCAAAGGCAACTACCAGTCATTCTACCCAACCCTTCAACATCAAAGTTCAACCATTGCTAGGTCTTTATGTTTGTATTCAGTAAACATAGTTACTTGAAACTCGGTGGTGTCTATGGGGTTTCATGAGCTCCAAAAGACTTC